TATAATGTTAAAAAAACATATACATACACACATCTATCTGATTTTAAAATATTTACAATACCAAATATACTTATATTTATTTTTGCAAAACAAAAAAAAAATTTATATTTTGTCATATAGTATATATATTCATATATAATATATATATATATATATATATATAATATATATATTGATTGAATTTTTATGTAAATGCTTTTTCTGTTTCAGACTTTAAATTTTAAATTCATTTTAAAATTGCCTCAATAAAAAAAAAAAAACATTAAATAATAATTATATATATTAAAACTAAATATGCCATAAAAATATATATATGTATATTTTATATATATATATCCAAGTGACGTAAAATATATATATTATAATTCAAACACATCTAAATGAAATTATAAAAATAATTTAATTTTTAAATGTCATGCAGTTTTGATTCTTATCTAGATAAAATAATATATATATATATATATATATATATATATATATATATATATATATAATTATTTATCTTGGTATTATTCGAGACAATCCTTCTTTTCATTTTTAAAAACATTGAATTATACAGACAAAATTTTTTTTTTGAAAATAATGATAAATTATATAAAACTGAGGAAAATTATTCATTTCTACTGTCCTTTTTTTATCGATACTATTGAAAGCCATTAAAAATGTTTTTTTAATGATTAAATAAAAATAGTTTTGTTACATGTTTTTTTTACCAAATGTTTTCATAAAAAAAAAAATGAAAAAGGTAAACGTTTTTTGTTATTAGATAATTTGATGTAGAAAACGTAAAAAAATGTTATAAATGATATAAAAAAAACATATTTAACATGAACTGTGTCAAATTTTAAATGATACATACATATATATATATATATATATATATATATATATATATATATTTATATATATTTATGAAGTTTGTTAAAGTGTTATAAATTTAATTTTATATAACAATTTTTATATTTATTACAAATCAAAGTTTATATTAAAAATATCAATATCAGAGAAAAAGTTAACATATTTAATTGGAAATATGTTTTTTCTGGGTTTCATTTTGGGCAGAAAAAATGACAGGAGGATCACGTTTTTATACAAAAAAAAAACTGAAATATAATATTTACAGTATTGTTTGTGTGTAAAAACTGAACAATGTTCATAATTTTTGTTTTTTTGAAAAAGTTAATAAACAGAAGGTCTGAAATTTTATGGACCAAGCTTTAGAGAATCGCCAAATTCAGTTTAAAATGTTATTTGAAATCAGGAAGAGTTCCGTTGACTAATTAAAGGATGCTCAAAAAAATAATGAACTTGATTAAAAATTTTGGATGACAGAAATTGTCAACTAGATGTCTTATTATAAGGAACTTTTACAAAAATAGAGCTATAGACATAAAAAATGTGACAAAGATCATTATTTTATTGTGATTAATTGCAATCTATGAAAAAATGCCCAAAAATATTAAACTTTCTCCTTAAAAAAATATCCTTTAATGTTTCTTAAATTTTTCAAAAATATTTTTTTCAATAATTTACGTTTTAATATAATCATAACATGATTAAAATGATTTTTTTTATTTATTTATATTGTAAATTGCTGTTATGTCATATAAATTTAAAAATCTTTTGCCAATTTTCAAAAAAAACAATGTATAATCTCTTGTTCTTCCAAAATGTTTGGGTTAATAATTTTAATGATCATATGAATTATGAAGTTTGGTTATTTAAACAGATGAAAAATCATTTCATGAATCTATAACAAAATTAGTTGAAAAAGGAATAATACAAAATTTTTGGGCAAATTGTCGCCATTTTATATTTCGAACTATTAATGCAACAATTTTATTTTTGATTGAATTAATAATGCACAGTATAGTACATTTTTCAAAGTCACTTTGAAACAGAACACCATGTCGCAATTCAATTTTGAAAAAAAAATGCCAAACACAAGATTTTGTTTCAAAAACTAATATATTGATCAAAATTCTCATTTATATTATATATATACAGCGCAGGGTCAGTTGTCCAGTATATATATATATATATTATATATATATATATATATATATACTAAAATTGGTATGATTGTCAGAAATCCAGAGGATAGAACAATAGGGCCTTCGACTCAGGACAGAGTGAAGGATAGAAATTCGTTGAAGGTCTGATGATAGTGTTATGTTGGGACACAGATGAAAGCAAGTTCCTCTGTTTGCAAATAGGATTTTTTTGTACAAAAGGCCGTAGAGTTTGAGAAAGCATCATTCTCACAGCTTTGACCATCTCCCGTCCCTGACACGATTAAATTGGGCAACCATTATTATAGGGCACATTGAGATCTGATACCAACAAAATTAATTTTAAAAGGAAAGGTGAAAAAGGCAAGATTATTTTCAAGCATTAGTAACACTAAAAAAGTAGCCTGTTACCAGCCGGATAATGAACGCCCCTAATGATGAGCATTGGTTTAAACCAATTGTGATTTTTTCAAATAAATTTACGATCATATTATTTCAAAAATTGAACGTGTATGGATATGGTTAAAAAGATATCAATTTTCTTTTTTTGGTAATTTATAATTTTTTTTATTTTGCTTCAACATTAAATATTCATTATACATTTGTATCCATCAGAATTTACAAGACTATGGATAGGTAAGGATGAAATATATATATTCAATGGGTAAAAAAATTTAAAACTCTTGATTACAAGCTAAACGAAACGTTGCAAATAATGATGTTTATATGATCCTTTACTGCAATCAAGATTACTATAAATCTATATATTATCTATTTATCATTACTTCTATCTCTATTGATAACTAAATATTGTCTGTATATTCTTTAAAATCTCTCTTTCCATCCCTGTCCATCTCTTAAAACTATTTTAAAATGTCGGCAGTTCAATATATATATATATATTTCCTTGTGTGAAATTGTATGTGTATATAATTTTAATTTTATAAGCATCAAATTTTTAAATTTTATTTAAACATTATTTTTAGCATTTAAAAATTGTTTGAGAGACGTCTTGTTTTTTGAACAACTTGTATATTTCGAAAAAATTTTTCTATAAAAGTTTTTTAAATTTTCTATCGTTAAATTTAATCGGATTCGAATGGACATTGTCTTGATCAATGATTAAAATTCAATATTTTCTAGATCTTCAACATATTCAATTATGATTATGGCTGGATTTTAGAAGGTTTACATTGCACTCAATTTTAAATTTCAGGATATTTGATATAATATCAACATACGAAATAAATTTCATTTTTTTTTAGATATATTTTGAAAAAATATTTCAAAGATAATTTTTTAAATTTCATGAATGATCATACAAAGTATTTTTATGAATTTACAAAAAACACAATATAACATTGCATGAATTGAAATAAAAAAGTTTGACATTCTATCAAGAAAAAAAATAAGTCATTTCAAGAATTTGTACTTTCTTCAGACTTTAATTTTTAAACTTTAAAATTACTTCCTGAATTTATTATCGTTAAAATTTATTTTTATTTTTTTTCACCTTGTCAGTTGAATTGTTCTCTCTTAATGATGAGTTTTAAATTTTCTATTTGTTAGATAAATATACAGTTATATTTATCATTTATTTCATGTCAATTTACAATAGTTTTTTTTTTAATTGGACTTTTTTAACTTTTGCAATTTTTGTTTTTCTTGCCTGAATAACTTTTAAAAAATTACTTTTTTTGTTTATTTCTAAAATTTAATTTAAATTTTATTATATTCTATTATTTTCATCATTGGTTATCTAATACAAAAATATAACCTTTAAAAAAAAAAATACTATATTCTTTCATTTTCATAAAGAATCTAAACTTTTTTAAACAAAACCTGCAAACATCCAACTGATTTCAGATTGCATTTTTTCTTAAACCCCAAAAAATCTGTTCAAAAAAAATTAGCAAAAATTATGAATCGGACTTGAATATTGTTTTACCGTATCATTATTTAACCCTAGAACCCTAACCATCAATTAAAGTTACACCACTACTAACCATGGGTATATCATACCCGATTTTGAAAATATCGAAAAAAAAAAAAAAATTAAATATAAATCTTTATTTGAAATATTTCACATGCAGGCACTTTGTAAACTTTGTACTTTGAGTTAACATTAATAGGAACTGAAAAACATATTATTTATGTAAGAAAATCAGGTACTAAAGATTGTAATTAAAAATAGGAAAATTTGCGCTGGGTACTATATACCCATGGTTAGTTTACACTTTTCTTATGAACCATGGCAATCTTTATATATCTGAAATTAAAAAATAAATATCGATAACTATACTATTATATCTATTTACAATATAATTCACAACCTTCGAGTTGTATAATAAAATCTCAAACCACTAAAGAACGCATGGAAATATATTTTTAATAAAAAACAATATTTTACAGTTATCCATTGGTAACTATCAATTTTATTGTGGAAACACTGAATCTCATAATAAAATCAAACATAGGTTATTTCAATAATTCAGTTTTGTCAAGGATTTTTCCTGGAAATTAATTGAGAGCAAATGTTAATTATTTGATTGCAATTTGCTGGTTCGTTTTACGTTCATATTCCGATTAATTATTTTGAAAATAAACATTAATTACGTGCAAATAGCAACGGAAAATAAATGTAATTAGTCAAATGTTTACTTGTTTAATCGCTACCCTGGATTTTAACAATAAAAAGAAATCCCCACCCCCAACTCTCCTTCTCTCTTCGATCTTACTCACATTCTTAAACTCATTTTTACTCTTTTCCTTGTGTATTTCTCACACACACACTTCATCAAACATACAAACGCACAAACACATCCTCTCATACACATTCTCACTCTCGCAAATATACACTCATTATAATTTCTATTTTTCTCTTGTTCTCCTTGTTGCTTATCGGTGCAATAACTAAAGTTATATCAATTGGTGATGTTAAACGTTTGGTTATGGCTTCTTACGAATATTTATCTACCAGTAATTTTCTTAATAGGAGAGCCAAATATATATAGAGAAAAATGAAATGGCGAAGACGGAAAGAGAGAAAAGATGGGGAGATGAAGAGAGAGGTACAAAGATCAAGATAAACAGAAGAAGATGGTGAAGCAAAAACGGCGAGATCAAGAGAGAGAGAGAGAGAGAGTGAACAAAAGGTAGGGAGATCAAGATAAAGAAAGACAAATATGAAGAGAGTAGGACAGACGAACATAGAAGGATAGAACAAGATAGAGAGACCTTGGTAGAAAATGAAAGATAGAGTTACGAAGAGATAAAAAGAGAGAAATCAAGATAGAGAGAGACAAGCATAGAGATATCTAGAAAGGTGAAAATGAAGCAACTAAGAGAGGGAGAGAGAGAAGCAAAGATAAGGAGACCAAAATAGAGTGACGCAGATGGAGAGACCAGGATAGAACGATAAAGATAAGGCTAAAAAATGAAAGAATGCAGATAGGGAAGTCCAAGATGGGGACGAAACGGAAAAGATAGAGAGATTAAGAGTAAAACACTAAGGTGGAGAGACCAAGATAGAGACATAGACGGAGAGGCGAAGATAGAGTGAGAAAGATAGGGCTAAAAAATGAAAGGATATAGATGAGAAAATCAAGATAAGAAGTTTGACATGGGAACGAAACAAAAAATATAGAGAGATTATCATGGAGAGACCAAGATTGAGTGACACAGATGGAGCGACCAAGATTGAGTGACACAGATGGAGAGACCAAGATTGAGAGACACAGATGGAGAGACCAAGATTGAGAGACACAGATGGAGAGACCAAGATGGAGAGACCAAGATTGAGATGACAATGATCATTATAGACAAGATTGAGAGACCAAGATGGAGAGAGACTTTTGGAGAGACCAAGATGGAGAACTTCCACAGATTTTTTGGAGAGACCAAGATGGAAACACAGATGGAGACAAGATGGATCTACACAGATTGAGAGACCAAGATTGAGTGACACAGATGGAGCGACACAGATGGAGAGACCAAGATTGAGTGACACAGATGGAGAGACCAAGATTGAGTGACACAGATGGAGAGACACTGATGGAGAGACCAAGATAGAGAGACACAGATAGAGATGGTGAGACCAAGATAGAAAAGCAAAGGTAAAGTGAAAAAGATCGATTGAACAAGATGGCGTGACAGAGACGAAAAGACCAAGATCTAGATAAAAAGAATAAGAAGTCCAAGGAACTTAAACAGAGAAGTCAAAATGTGGAGGCCAAGATGGGGTGTCAAAGATTTGTCTCTTTATTCTTGTCTTTGTTGATCTTTCTTGCTTTTTCTATTTTGCCTGTCTCGCCATCTTGGTCTGTCTATATTTATCACTCAGTCTTTGTTAATCTATCTTGGTCTTTCCTTTGTCTCTCTCTATTTTGGTCTCTCCATCATCTCCAGTTGTAATTGTAGCAGTTGTCTATTGGGCAAAGTTCGGCATCGTTTTAAATTGTCGTTATTTTAACAGTTTGCCAAGATATTGAACCAATTCATTTTATGGAAGGGCAAGAAAGTTAAAATGAAATAAAAAATGTGCGAGTTTCTTCTATGAATCCTTCTTATCCGAATATTTCCATATTTTGGCTGATGAGAAAATATAAAGAAATAAATATGCCTAGTAAATTTCGTTTATCATTACATCAATTTGCAATATCAACTGGGCTTTGAAAATAATGAATGACCTAAGAATAATGTCAATTTTAGTTTTCAGTTAATGCGAAATATAGTCACGTGAACAGAACACACAGTGAGCATTGACCATCAGTAATATTTTTGGAAAGTAAGTGGCAATTAGCTCTATAGTGTGCACCCAACTAGAATTATTTAAAATTCTGAATGAATTCTTCTGTTAATCAAACTTCAGATTTGGCACCAAACCACGAACCCCGACCGTTATTACACCAGTGTTATGAGTCACCCCGAGGAAGAGTACGTTCTTTTTATCCCGACGATAAGCTTAACCATTGGGAATAGGTTTTGATTGAGAGATATCCACGCAAGATTATGGTTTTTAATAGACTTCGTTTGTCAAAGCTGTCCAGAAAATTATATTTCCATAGTAGAGTTTGCATAATATGCAATAAGACTTTCAGTGCTGAGAAGTCATCGATTTTTCTTTGTCTGACATTTGACGCTTTTCTCATGACTAGAACAAATAAACCGCTCAATATACAGACTTGTCTATTTTAATGACAGTATATACTTACGTTATATATAGGTGGCTATTTGTCTCGACATTTCTTTCTTGTCAAGACATCGAGCGCGGAACGTAGGGTTTATGATAGATCTGTTGTTATAGAAATCGTATTGACTTTTTAAAAAGAAACCTACTGTATACTTCATACCGAGCATATTTGCATGAATTAGGATTGTCTTCTTTATTTATTAAAAATCTGAAAAGAATACCGTAGGTTCACAGAGGCGTCAGTCCCTTTAATATCAGGAATAAGAGTTTCATTTCATAAAGAATTGGTCATATTTCATACACTTTTTTCTGAGAAACAACTGGACGTGAACGTTTCTATGACCCATTAGGATGTCGGTGTGCAATATTTTCCATTAAGGCCATTTCTCAAAACAAGAGAAGCTTTCTTTGCTGGTGACTATCCACCTCCTTGTAATATTCGGCGGTTTTTACTAAATTAATTAATACCGGCAACTAAGAGCGATTCCTGACATAACCGTTTATATAAAACCCAGGATTGATTTCTTTTATAAAGTTAACGAGATACAATTGATTTTCTATTTACTCAGAGCTGAAGAGATTAGCGTATTCAAGTCCTTTCCTAAAAGCTCAAGTGAGTAATAAATACAAACTGAAATTCAATGACCATTTTCCTTGAAACAGTCGCTTATGATTCATAAGTGGGGGGGGGGGAGAGAGAGAGAGAGAGAGTGTGTAAATATGTGAGTGATTCATTTTCTACAGTTTCTCAAACCTATAAAGTTTATTTAAAGCGAAAAAATGTTTTTAGATTGTAAGAAGTTATTAGGGAGATAATAATAATGATTTAGTGATACAAGTCTTACTAATTAACCTATAGCTGGGGGAGAAGAAGTGGTATTATACCTTTCTCAAGGGTATTTGCGCGTAAGTTTACTACAACGAACCCAATCGGAATTTGAACTCGGCAATTCGATTAACAATTCCGAGCTATTATCCACTACACCACTCGCAAAGCCAAACTTACATCACCTGGTATTGTCCAGTGGTTAGCCATCTAGATACTGACCATTCTCGACGTTGCCTAAGTTCGGTGGACGTAAGGGAACCGGTATTTCAGCGTGATGCGGCCATTAATTATTTAAGTATTATCTGTTACTTACATTACACGTGACATGTATCTTACGAATAACGAATAGCCAAAGACGTCATGATATTAATCTGCGTCTCTTTGCTTTTTATCATTTTTTATCATTTCTATCTTGATCTCTGACGAAGCATATTAGATTAAGACCTGTTTCCTACTTATTAGTCATCCGCATTCAAGGCTCTTTCGCTGTATCACAGCTCATCAGCGTGGCTATATATATATATATATATATATATATCAGAAATTTTGCGTTTATATATATATATATATATATATATAGAGAGAGAGAGAGAGAGTTAGGGGTAGAGTTTTAGACATACCAAATCGATCCCTGTTTGAAGCAATCGGGTGTCTAGCCACACCGATGAGCTGTGAAACAGCAAAACAGTCTGTCTCTTGATGAAAATATATATAAAGGTGGACATTGAGATCAACAACAAGCGGCGATGGTCTGTTTCATGCTTGAACGCAATCCTAAGGCCATATTATCAAGGATATTTCTCACACATATTTGAATATTATCTGTTACACGTGACATGTATCTTACGAATAACGAATAGCCAAAGACAACATGACATTAATCTGTGTCTCTTTGCATTTTATCATTTTTTAAACATTTCTAACTTGATCTCTGACGAAGCTTTAATAAAGTGAATCATATTAGATTAAGATCTGTTTCCTAATTGTTCTTTTTCCTCCTTTTCCACAAACTAACATAAATAGATTCAAATTTAAAAAAATAAATCAGTTTGTCTGATGATCGCAGAAGCGTGAAACCCAGGGTCACAAACTCATATCCATTCAACTAAATATCTTAGCCTCTATCATTGATATTGAGCGCTTTCCAAGAAGCACCGCGCATATATAAAATATCTATAGAAATTATATATATATATATATATATATATATATATATATATATATATAACAATTTATTCGAAAATTATAACATAAAAATATTATAAAATCACTACAAAAATAGCCATTTTGTTTCAATACTTCTGGTGTCTTATCAAGTGATGGTGTTGAATGTAGAATAAAGGGTTTTAAAAGGTTCAAATAAATCAAACACCCCTCGCAAGGGGAAATGCTGTTACATAAGCTGCAATAGACCAATCAAAATACAAGTATATGAGAATTCAAAAAACATGACTAAGGTTATAATAATTATTTAATGGCTATTTTTTTAGTGATTTTATAACATATTTATGTTACAATTTTCGAATAACTAATTATATTTGCTCTACCCTGTATTGAGCACTCTTTTAAGAATAGTATTTGTTGGTTATTGAATTTGTTAAATAAACCAATATTTGGATATTTATATATATATATATATATATATAGAGAGAGAGAGAGAGAGAGAGAGAGAGAGAGAGAGAGAATAATAGAAATAGAGAGAGATTGATAGAAAATAATGTTAACACTGCCAAGGACGATGCCTTGATGTGGTAATAGGATGTGTGCAACATGTGCGTAACTGTTATCGTCGCTGAAAATGGATATGGTGAACTGAGTTCGCATTCCTTTCTAGTCTGTTGCGTTCACTTTTACACAAATGCCATTGGGGAAAAACACGATTCCATCTCTCTACGTAGTTAAAAGTTTAATAGCAGGATAGACTGTATTCTCTAGCTTTGGGTGGCAGCCAGCAGCCAGGATAAGAAAAATCTTAATTTCAAACAGTGAAAGAAATGGGAAACAAGTCCCCTATCTTTTAGAATAATGCATGGCAAATCTGTGTAGAACCATGATCGCCTACATCTTGAGGGGACACTAAATATAGTGTCCCCTCAAGATGTAGGCGATCAAGATGTTTATGCAAAGGAAAGGTAAATATAACATTTTCACAGTCTTCGATTATCCTGTAACGTAGTAATACTCATCTTAGTCCAGTATCTGGAGGGAATCGCGTGCTGTGATGAGGGTCAATGGGGGATTGAAAATTATTTCATCATTTGAAAATACTTATAATTTATTTATTAACTATAATTTTTAAAAGAAATGGATATGAAAGGAAAGCATTTAGCATGAGGTTTTATTTAAAATACAATATAGGGCACCAGATTTCATTACCAGATTCGCGAGCCGCCCTGAAATCGCGTCAACTGATTTCACCAGGAACCTTTATGGTATGGAAGACATAACATCTTGTATTCGTCCTTCAAGTTCTTACAATGTCTTCGTTTAGCAGGGGAGACTTTTAACCTAGCCCAAAGAAAAGTTACACAGTATTAAGTCAAGTTCCTGGCTGGCCACTATAGGATACATAAAAAAGCCATATATATATATATATATATATATATATATATATATATATATATATATATATATGTGTGTGTGTGTGCACATATATATATATATATATATACGCACATATATATGTGTGCATATATATATATATATATATATATATATATATATATATATATATATATATATATATATATATATATATTGCAAAATTACTAGTAAAGGGGAGGACAATTTTGGAAACAGAAAAAACGTTTGAGGAAATGAAAAAAAAATTTTAAAACATTGGTTAGACTAAGCACAAATTCCTTTGAGAATGTCGCGGAAAAAAAAATCATGAAAAATTAAGAGTAATCATCCATATTGACTAGCAATTCTTCTCTTGAGATAGGAACAGTTTTCTCCCTTGAAGTTAAATATGTGTCGGTGATGAAAAAGATTCTTGTCACAGATTGTCATGAGAACTGAAGGTTTTTAGTAAAATATTTGATTACATTTTTTCTGTATACATACACTGTCGTAACCTAGGAAAAGTTACTTAAGACACGAACAACACATATAAGATTCGCCAGCGGCGTGTAGAGAAGTAGTCAACTGCTAGAAGTGAATCAAGTGAATGCCACAATGAATCTCCAACTGCAGGATATCTACCAACCACCCCACGCGGTCAGATGTAGCACAAGGCCGAATTAAATGTGGGGTATCCGAGCCCGTAGGCTCGGCTAAAAATTCCTTGTAGACCCTGTATAAAATGGGGCCCGGTAGCTGTTTCCCGAGACGAGACTTTGCCCTTCGACCCATAGCCTCATCTGGGGATCCTCTCTGCCCAGAGGCAGAGAGTTCGACCAGCACAGCTGGAGACGAATCTCCAACTGCGGATCAACATACAGTATTTACTACTATTTTAATAAAAGCAATATACCATTATCGTTTTTCAAGAACCTTTAAGAAGACAAAGGAAAAACAAATTAAACAGTACACTGGATGTTTTTGTCTTCAGTCATTCGGTTCCTGTTTGATTTAATGAGACGAGTTTGACTTTTGTTACTGGAGCAGTATTAATGGACATGTGGGATATGGATAGGACTTAACACCTAAAGAGGAATTCCTCTATTTTTTGGACATTAAACTAGGTTAATTTACCAAGAAAATGTACAATTCATCTGTAAATTCTTTCAGTTTAGTACACCTAAGTGCTGACAGAAGTTAGTGTTTTTTCAATCAACAGAATAATTAATTGCTATAAGAAAATGAAATAACTTCAAAATTAATTAAATACTGGAATATATATATATATATATATATAATTACTGTTTAAACATATGAAAATACAAGTAAATAGGGTTTGATGAACAAAAATTAATCCAAAAAAAAGGAATAAAAACAATGGAATCAATAGTTATTCAAAAAAGGTAGAGAGAATAAACTGCAACAATCAAAGTCTTATATATATATAATACGTTACCATATGCAGCTTTATAAAAAAAAAATTGTCTTCTAGACAGCCCTGATGAACACCAACCTTTTTGAATATACATTCACCATTTTTGGTTCGAAACTGCAAGGCTAACAACCGACGGGTTCCAGGAAACCAGAACGTTTGAATCTTGCATTTTTGTGAAATATTTTTTAGAATTATCACAGTGTCGCATCAGTAAAAAGGAAAAAAGAAATTGCAAGTGGTAAAGCAAATTTTATATTTATTCATTTTTTTTTATTTATACATTTTCATAAATTACATAACATATATAAATATATATGTATATAAATATGTTT